GGGCCAGTCCCCCACCAGTAACCCAACAAGCGACTCCCATGCCCTACTGTACACATTTGTCCAAATGTGGGCATCGCATACACACACATGCATATAAGATGTACTGCATAGGTTCCATCCCCATGACTGCTGGATTAGGACATGTCCCTGGACATTGGGACAGAGACAACACGTACACACACATGCCGTTTGTGGACAAGGCCATTGTGGCCTTGTTTTCACAACCACATGGCAAGCAGCCTTGCTTGAGCACAAGTAGGGTCTAAGCACTGATTCTGTCTCTCTACTTCTACAGCCACAGTGGCCCAAACTGCGGTTGCCTCTCAGTGGTAGCTGTGCACAGGTATACTTATCCACCAACCTCCACAACTACTTATCTCCGGACACTCACAAGAGAGGAAGTTATCCCTCTAAGGTACTGGGAATGTTCCAGACAGCTGGGTTAGGCCTCCCTCCCTCCTTCATGCCATAGGGCACTTAACAAAATGCCACAGATCCCCAAGGTAGGGAGTATATCAGTAGCACTTGGCACTGCAAAGGATTTAGATGCCTCCGCTGACATCCGTGTAGGTTTCATAAAACGGCAACAGCGTAAAGGAGTTCCTGCTATAAAAAGAGCCCTACGATATGTAGGGCCACAGTGGCCCAAACTGCGGTTGCCTCTCAGTGGTAGCTGTGCACAGGTATACTTATCCACCAACCTCCACAACTACTTATCTCCGGACACTCACAGGAGAGGAAGTTATCCCTCCAAGGTACTGGGAATGTCCCAGACAGCTGGGTTAGGCCACCTTCCCTCCTTCATGCCATAGGACACTTAACAAAATGCCACAGATCCCCAAGATAGGGAGTATATCAGTAGCAATTGGCACTACAAAGGATTTGGATGCCTCCGCTGACATCTGTGTAGGTTTCATAAAACGGCAACAGATATTCAGTCTTCTAGTTCAAACTGCTTGCATTCACAGTGTCCTTTGGTCTTAATTGGGACAGCCCTTGGAGACTGTTTGTTGGCTCTGGAGAGTTTGGCCTGTACCTTCACAAATTATACTAGCTTGCCACATTTGTTACTGCCTCATCTGACTGCCTGTGCCTAGCTGGAGACACTGTGGTTGATACAACCAGGCAAGTGGCTATTTACAAGCCTGCCCCTGGTACCTTCTTAAGAGGTTGATCTAAATATAAATTACAGAGCAGCTGCGGGATCCGTGTTACGGGAGCGAGGGAGGCCCAGAGGCAACCAGCGTCTAACCATTATTTACTGTGGGTTTCTAAGCTGTCCGCTCCTTATTTTGCTAGCTCTGTTGATACAAGTTTGCCTACCAGGAATGATACACTGATCAATCCTGAAGAAGGAATATGTGCCTCTGAAATAAAGGTGCTTGAATGGTTTCCCTTTCAAATTCATTCATGCTATGTTGCTTCTTTCCCCTCCTACCCTTGGCAGTATCGTGGCACACAAGCGACCCACCTCATCCGCTTCACTGGAGATTTTAACTGATTGAGCACAAACAAGTGTGCATTCCTTTCAGAGATGGACATTTGGGCTGGAACCTGTTCCAAGACTGTGTGCCCCAGGGGGGCCTGCTGCTTTAGAAAGGAAAGCTACCTTTGGCCTCCTGGTTGGTCACATTGACAGTGATGTTTATCTGCAGGAACCAGTCATGGTATGTTAATGTGTGAGATGGTGGAGGGAGCAACGTTGGTGCCGTTCGGTCAGTGCGGCACTACTTCGGGCTGATACTCTTTTTCATCCAGACCTCAGCCCATTCTCCTGCTTACCTCTTTGTGCCCCCAAAAGCAGATGTGTGGCCCAAAGGAAAGGTATTGCCACAGGAAGTGTCTTGCCCCCTTTCTTTGTACGTATGAGGTAGGTTTCACCAGAGTCCTCGTTACGTTTTGAATAATCTGCTGGAACATTCCATGGGACTAGAGCTTCATGGGACTGAGTTCTAGTTACAAGATGAACTGGGAAACGCCAATAAAAGCAACATCTCTGAAAATGAAACAGATGCTTAGAAGATTTGGTAAGCGGAAGCTTCAACCAGGAGGGGATATGGTCACCGGTGAGTGGACAAGAATATTCTCAAGCCTGCCTGGCACGATAGTATAAACAGAAGCTGCACCAAGATCTGAATATATTCTATGGAACCCGTACCTATTTAAAATGATCAGGTGGAACAAGATAGAGTGCCAGAGATACGGGAGTGGATAAAGAAAATGCTTTTTATGGCAGAAATGGACAAACTGACAAGGAAACTTAATAACAAGGAAGATCAAGAATTTAGTAGAGACTAATTGGGATGTAAAAAATAATTTGCTTTGCTTTGCTAGTTATTAAGAGCGGAACTTAGTAAATGGAGAAGATGGTCATAATGTTATATTGTTACCTGAAGATTTGATAATGAGGAGGTTATAAATGACAGTAATATAAGAATTGTTTTGTGTGAGGGGGTGGGAGCATTGCGGGAGGCCAAGAGAGGGGGGGTAGGAGAATTGAGAAAAGGATATATGTGGAAAGAAAAGTTGTACTGTTGAATATGAAGATATATCCGAGCAATAACATTTGTTTAAAAAAAAATGATCAGGTGGCTTTCAGTCACAAAGGAGCAAACAGGTACCTCAAGCTATGACAGTATGTTTGGACTGTGCCCTGTTCCCTGTGGGAGTTCTCCTTCAGTGGCACACAGCAGTGCTCTTTTTTTTTGTTGGTAAAAAGAAAATGTCAGTGTTCACAAGATCGCACCAATTGCCCCCTCAGGACTTGGATGCCCCCCCCCAAAAGGTGCCCACACCCTGTACCAGCGAGTGGTAGTACCACCACCAAAAAAGTCTTGGTGCACAAGAGTCAGTCGGTCCACTCCCCCCCCCTTTATTGTATTCATAGCCCTCAGTGCAATAACTGATGGCACAAAACATTTATACCCCCTGAATACTACAGTATCCAAAGCTGCTTTTACTATAGCTGCCAATAGTACCAAGCAGCAGTACAGGGAAGGCAACAGGGTATAAGAATCCTGGTGGTTAAACCTCCATCTTTTAATGTGCAAGGAAAGTAGCAGAATGTGTGTGAAGTGGTTTTAGTCAGTTGCACACACCATGTAGCAAACGCAGCTTGGTTGACATCTGAGTGTACATCCAGGGGTCATTTCGTGGAAAAAGAGGTGCAGGAGCTCATTAGCATAATTTATTAGCATAACTTATTTGCATATACCACATCACCGGAAGTGTGTCAGAAGGCAACACCCACCACTCAGGCTCCACTGGACTGTTTTGGATTGCTAGCTATTGGGGGGGGGACGTGCAGATCTGCCTTCGCTTGTGCCTGAAGGTGGGCTTGGGGGGGGGCCTCTGCAACTTACCTGGCTGCTTCTTGCTCCTCGTGGCCCGACTGAGGGCTGCTGGGAGCAGGGGGCGGGGCTTGTTGCATGTGCCCGCCCCCTGGGCTCCTTACTGCCAGAGCTCCGCTCCTGTGCGCTCCCGCAGGAAATGACCCCTGTGTATATCCAACCATCTACAAGAAGCAGCAATGAAGCAACCAGCTCAGCAATTTTTCATTAGACTTTTACAGCCTATTTATTTCAGACACACACTTAACTCTCTCTCCTATAAATCAATAGGCTGTCAAAGCCCTTGAGAGACCACACACAGAAATTGCCCCTTTCTGCCATTCAGCAGGCTAACTCTACCTGTTCAATAAGCTTTCTGAAAGTGTTCTCCAAGATCTATACAAAGGACACGTGCCCATATTGAAGGCATCATGTATGCTAAAATGATACAGTAAGGCAACATGGCAATTGGTAAAGGAATTTAATACACTTATTGGTCCATTTCCTTTAGTAAACAAGAAAAGAAACAGTATTCAAAAATGTACACACATAGTTTAATCAAGCATTACAAATTAGTTCCCCCATTCAAAAAGTTCCAATTACATAATACAATACTTTTATATATAAACATATATATATATATATGAAAAGTTGAGCGTGCCATTGCTAGCACCTGGCCAGACACTTGGGGCAAATTCCCCTGCACAAGCCCCACTGTGTTCACTCTTTTCAAGCAGACATGTACAGAACTTCCTGGTTACTTGCAGCCTGACATACCAAGAGCTTAAACCGGTTTAAAAATTCAGCTTCTCAGGAGTATGTGTAACTACACTCCCCTAAATGTAGGAAGAGGACCAGCATGCACAGTATCCACTACCTGGGAATTCACAGCTTTAATTTTGGTGACAAATGCATTTTTACTTTAATTATAGTACCTTTTAAATTGTTAGGCTGTCCCGTCTACAGCCATTGTTTTAACCCTTTAATCTTTGTTATGGCAAGTGGCTAAGAATTTTATTTTTTTACTACTCTAATACTGTTGCTTTCAGTTTGAATTTAAGCTAAGAGAAGGGATAAAAGACAAAAAATAAAGTTCTGTAAATAGATTTCACAAGAACATTAGCCGTGCTGTTCTGTTTAAACATGTGCGGCAAAAAAACTCTCGTTTCTCTGAGACACATTAAGCCAGTTTCTTATGTAGTGGGTCCTAGAGCCAATGAAAGGCAGAATAGATTTCACGGCAGAAATGGGCCATCTCTCCCCACTGCATCTGTCAAAACCACCTTGAATGGCCAAAGGCCTATTCAAACTACAAAGCAAGATTTTGTACACTGGTATCTGCCGCACAATTTTGGTAAAGAATCACAAAGGAAAATGTACAGTTCCAAAAACTTGTGGACATATGATGGGTACATGCAAGGCAGCCAGTTTCCCCATCACACTGGCACTGTGAGCACCAGTGTACATACAGATGTCTTTAGCATATAAATGTTGAATCTGCTCACCATAGGCTGTCCCGTCTACAGCCATTGTTTTAACCCTTTAATCTTTGTTATGGCAAGTGGCTAAGAATTTTATTTTTTTACTACTCTAATACTGTTGCTTTCAGTTTGAATTTAAGCTAAGAGAAGGGATAAAAGACAAAAAATAAAGTTCTGTAAATAGATTTCACAAGAACATTAGCCGTGCTGTTCTGTTTAAACATGTGCGGCAAAAAAACTCTCGTTTCTCTGAGACACATTAAGCCAGTTTCTTATGTAGTGGGTCCTAGAGCCAATGAAAGGCAGAATAGATTTCACGGCAGAAATGGGCCATCTCTCCCCACTGCATCTGTCAAAACCACCTTAAATGGCCAAAGGCCTATTCAAACTACAAAGCAAGATTTTGTACACTGGTATCTGCCGCACAATTTTGGTAAAGAATCAAAGGAAAATGTACAGTTCCAGAAACTTGTGGACATATGGTGAGTACATGCAAGGCAGCCAGTTTCCCCATCACACTGGCACTGTACCAGTGTACATACAGACGTCTTTAACATATAAATGTTGAATCTGCTCACCTTTGTAGAGAAATATCTAACTGCTAGCCAATGGATTCTCTCAGGCTACCCACTACCACTGAAGGCTCTCTCAAGGCAGAAACACATTGAAAGGAAACCTGAAGCAGCGAAATGACTCTTTCCACCATGCATTTATTGAACCGTTCTTTCTACAAAGATCTCCCTTCAGAGGTGAGTGGCTGGGGGAGGGGTGTAAATGTTCTGTTTCCCTCTTTAGAAGCAGCTAAACTCTAGGACAGTGACTCACCAATGTTGTGCCCCCAGAGGTGCTTTCTGGCACCCACTCCTCTTGTCCAGAGCTGCTTTTTCTCAAAGCTAAAACACAGTCCAGGCTTTCCTTCACCTCACCGGAGCAAAAGCAAAGAGCGAGAGTCCAGTAGCACCTGAAAGACTAACAAAATCTGTGGCAAGGTATGAGCTTTCGTGAAATATCTGAAGTAGTGACGCTCATACCCTGCCACAAATTTTGTTAGCCTTTAAGGTGCTACTGGACTGTGACTCTTTTCTACTGCTACAGACTAACATGGATGGGTATTCCATCTTGATCTATCTCCTTGGGGAAAAGGTATCTCAGAAAAGCCCAAGAGGCATCCTCTTTGTGTCTGTAAGGAGCATCCATCCGGAAGGAGTTGCCCTCTCCATCCTAGGACAACACTTGGCTTGGAACCGTTCGATATTGAGTCCCACAGAGGTGGGAACAGACACATTTGGGTCATGGCTTTCCCATAGCAGCCATTTTGTGGTGTTACCCACCACCTTTTCCAAAATTCCAATAGTGTCCATGGAATCAACAGGGCTGGAAGCCCCTGCTCAAGAGCCTAAGGAAAGCTGGAAGTACTTAGCTTGATGCTACCCTGATTGGGGGGGGGGGGGACAACACTCCCTTATCTTGTACAGCTAATCTCCCATTTCTCGATTGCTAGAGAGACAGAGAAGTCGGCCAACCAGCCACATGTCTTCTCCTTCCCTCTACAGAGATAGAACCAAAACCAGCACTTTTAGCTTCCCTCCTTCAGTCAGCCTTTCAATTACACGGCTGTGCCTATTCCAAAAACCATTTGGAAAGCTGTGTTCACAGGGAAAGCTTAAAACCACCCTCTTCCGAGCTGCATTCACTGCTGCTGCAAATGCAAGTCATCTGCTCTAGTGAAGGATCATCCAGACAAGAGTTTTCTATGCTCTTTCCTCTTGTCAGCCACCACTTTCACAGTATTTTTTTTTTTTTGCCGCAGCACTGGAGGGCTTTTATTTTCAGTGGCTAGTTGCTATAAGTGCCCTGGTGACTACTGATTTCCTTCAAAAACCAAAAGAAGCCCTCCCATGGCGCTGCAAGGAAAAGAGTGGCTGCAAGGGAGCAACAGGAGGAGAAAATTAACAATATGGGTGAGACCTTTGAAAACGCACACCTTTCCCATCCTGGTGGTGCACTGATGCTCTCGAACTGTCTCCTTCCCGAAGAGATCATCGTAAATGAGGTTTGTGCCAAAGATGGGAGAAACCTGAAATGTGGACGGCCAGAAGGCAAAAAACATGTTGGATACTCCTAAAGCAGAAACAGGAAAAACATCTGGGTGGAATCAGCCATGTGCGAGTTTAATGACAAGTCATCGTTCATGCATTTATAAAGCCTACAATGGGGTAGAACACTAGCATTAGCCTAACAACCCCTACTGGAAAAAGAGTTATACCCTTCTGAGTCTACTGAAGTCCATGGGCTTTGAACAGTGTAATTCTACTTAGGATTGCTCTGTCAGTCTCAAATGTGAAAATACTCAAGGACTTCAATTTTGCAACCAGACTAACATCAACAGGCCTTTTGTGGCTGCAGAACACAAAGCCAAATTTGTAACACTGTCTGCATTGCAGTGACCCAACACACTTCTTTTACTTATTTTTGGACATCAACTGTAAGTTCAGCAGCAGATTTAAATGCCACCAGCTTAAGTACAGCTATTAGAGCAAAATGGTTTATCCAAAGCATGCCGTTTGGCTAAAACTGCCAGATATCCTGGGAGCGGTGAGGGAATGGAGATCTATGTCAGTGTCATGATCACTTTACAAAGAGCCAGGAA